CCGCTTAACCGACTGAGCCACCCAGGCGACCCTGCCTTTTTAATAAAATCCTCAAGTGTCTGACTTCAGGGCCATCTATAATCTGACCTGCTCTCCCAATCCAATCTTTCTCACTTTTGTGGAGGAATTTAATAAAGGTATGCATTTATTTCATTTTAGCTGTTTATGTAATTTAGCTATCTTATCAGTCTGCAGTTTACCTGAGTTGGGAGTTGCACTGTGGTAATAAAAATTAGGGGCGCCTGGGTGGCGCAGTCGGTTAAGCGTCCGACTTCAGCCAGGTCACGATCTCGCGGTCCGTGAGTTCGAGCCCCGCGTCAGCCTCTGGGCTGATGGCTCAGGGCCTGGAGCCTGTTTCCGATTCTGTGTCTCCCTCTCTCTCTGCCCCTCCCCCGTTCATGCTCTGTCTCTCTCTGTCCCAAAAATAAATAAACGTTGAAAAATTAATGCTAGGCTTTCCTTTAGAATCTTACCAAAAAGCAATAAAATTCTTTTCATTCATTTTGTGAGTGTTTTTCCCCTGAGGTAAGGGATGTTTGTGATTATAGGCCCCAGAACACAAGAACCAACATCTAAGCAAAGGTATTCCTAGAAAGGGACTGTTTGCAGCAATTATTCTGGGGGAGCCCCTTACCCCTGACTACCTGTATCTCAGCTAAATATGGAGTCTTGGGGACCCTGCTGTGTTTCATCATCAATCAGTTATCATGACTACAGGGGAACTAGGGAAATCTTCCAAAAGTCCCCTGGAAAGCAGAGGTGACGGAAGTGTGGCCTGAGGTTGTGTGGGAGCTCAGGGCCTGTGCTATGGTGCAGGGAAACCAGGGGTTCTGACATTTTGTAGAAGAACTTGGAGTGATTCTCAAAGGATGCCGGGAAGCGGACGGTCCTGGCACCAGACTCTTGGAGGAAAAACCTGGTAAGAGGATCCGCGTTTGCTGATTCAGAGCCCAGTTCTGACAGGGAGGAGCCACAGGACTGTTTGAAAAGTGACAAATTCCTGTCACACAGACAGAAACCTATTGCATGCGGAGGGAGGCAGCATACCATGGTACCTCATGCTGGTGTAGAGGGTGGCGACATGGTAGTCATGAACTTATCCAAATTTGGACACTTTGAGAGTCAAAAAAGTGCTAGAGTTATTCCATTTATATGGGACATTATAAAATGCAGGGCGGCTTCATAGAAATTCCTGGAACTATGAGAAATCTGTGTCCTCTTTGTGTACACATGGAAAGAGAACAGGCCCTCTGCTGTCCCTTCTCAAAAGGGCAGTAGTTCCATCACGAGGGACACAACCTCGTCCAGCTCTAATCACTTCCCAAAGGCCCCTTCTGCGCATCCCATCACACTGGAGGTGAGGGTCTCAGCACAGGCATTCAGGGGACGCCATTGCAGTGCTGGATGGGAGGCCTATTGTTGGGAATTCTTGGGTCCCTTATTTAGACCCCAGGCCTAGAGTCACGTGGAGCTGGTCTGGAATCCTGCCTCTGCCATTCCCTAGCAATGTGTCCTCCGGCAAGTTATTTAACCTTCGTGAACTTTTACTCATCTGACGAAGGGGGATTAATACGCGTATCTGTCTCAAGGCATTGCTACGAGAGTTAGATGAGTTACCCTATGTGAAGCCGTTGGCACAGAGCACAATTATGAGTATCATGCGTTATCAATATATTTGTACATAATAAATATATGCATATTTATTCATAAATGATATACTATGTATACATGCTGCCTAAATGTGTAGATATTCATAAACATGGGGGGGGCAACCCTTTGAATTTGGAAAATAGCAGATTTCCTCTTCTAAAGTGTTTAGATTCAGAATCATAGAAACTTAGTAATTATAACACATGGCGGGCGGCGGCGGGCGGGGGAGGCAGGTGGGTCGTTAAAATTTAAAGACAAAGCTTGCCCTTTGATAACAAAATTAAGAAAAATGAGCCTGTCGCTAATGTAACTGGCCGGCTGAGGTACCTGGGCAATGCAGTTGTGCTGAGTCTCCCAGGAGCCTGTAAAACCTGAAATGTTATCTGTGGATGTAGGGAGGGTGAGGAAAAGGGAGGTGTTGCCTGTTGAGGGGAAAGGCCCCACTTGGTCAGCTTGCCTGAGCCCAATTCTGTGATCTGCAAACAATCTTACAATTGGTCCTTTGGTTCTTCTCTCCCCGCCTGGTACCAGGAAGGCGGTAACCTAGGCTGGGTGCACATTGTCTTGGCACTAAGAAGAGATTACCCTCCACCCCTCTGTATTACTAATATTCTGACTTGTGTAGTAGCCTTAGGACACAGAAAATGATTTGAGTGACTCTTGTCTCCGTTCTCCCCAGGAGAATATGTAACCACTGCCATTCTCAATGCCTAGGAGAGAAGTGAGCTCCTTGCCTACAGTGAATGTGTTGGTGCATTCGGGTTTAATCCTGTTGTAGAGTTGGGATGAGAGAGGCTCTGACCTGAATCAGCCTCCCAGAGACGAGGCAGTCCTGCGGACCAACAGCATCCCATTTGGGAGATGCTGAAAACAGCCTTCTGCCAGATGCAACTGCCCTGCGAGGCTCAGCTGAGCGGCCACTGGCCGTGCCTCCCCCTGGGGTCCCCCGCTCTGTGGTCACTGAACATCAACTCCAGCTTCACACTTTCCTCCACTCTGAAGCCTTTCCAGTGTCTCTAGCCTGTCCTTGACATTCCAGAACATTTCATCCAAGAGCTTCACAGGTCCCCTGATTTGCAGTAGTCTCTAGCACATAGGTATCCCCTTGCAGAATGCATAAATGTTAGCAAAGTAGGGCTGAGCTGTGAGTGCTGGCCCTCAGGTGGATGCTTACTCACCTGATAGTGACATCCTTCTTCATTCAGAAGACTTTTTTTTTTTACATTTTTTTTAAAGTTTATTTGTTTATTTTGAGACAGAGTGAGTGAGCAAGGGAGGGGCAGAGAGAGAGGGGAGAGAGAGAATTCCAAGCAGGTTCCACACTGTCAGTGAAGAGCCCAATGCGAGGCTCAAACCCACAAACCATGAGATCGTGACCTGAGCCGAAATCAAGAGTCAGATGCTTACCCAACTGAGCCCCCCAGGCGCCTCCATTCAGAAGACTTTTATGGGACTTTTAGGGATACCTGGAAATATTCAAAGTGAAAATTAAAATCTGAGATTCCCCAGGGTCAAGTGGATGATTTTATCAAAAGTTTTTTTTTTTTCCTAAAATGGATGCCTTGTTGTTTATTTGAAAATTATTCAAGCGGCATGTCATTGCTTTGTCTCGGCCCCTCCACACCCCTCCTCACCCCAACACATCCATCAAAACACCATCCCCCAAATCTCTGCAGTCAGCTCTGTGTGTTTCTGGGTAATGTATGCCCTGAGGTTCCAGGTAGAGGAAGCTACTGACTTTTCCTGCTCCGTGTACCCCATTGAAGGGACTTGGGGGGGCTCACTGTGCTTTCCCTTTGCTCGCAGGACACATTTAGCATCACGATCAAGACAGCGGCTCTGGATGTATTTCTGCCTGATGGAAGGAATATTCAAATCGAAATTCTAACATCAGATACTGCTGAAAGAGTTCTAGAGGTAAACTTTGTCTCAACTCCAGCTCCAGAACTGAATTCAGGAATCATTCTGTTTGAGGGCAGGGACTAGGATAAGGTTACCTTCCAGAAGCTTCCTGCCTATCATTTTACTCTGGATGATGTATCTGTAGAGAGGCTGGATTTTCTGGGAGACTGACCAAGGAATCTGAGCTACAACTTATCCTCCCGGGCATCTTTGGTTTTACTCTCCTGGTGGGCATCAACTTCCCAGACATCTTTTAGGCCCTTCCTAATATGGCTGTCAGTTTTCTGGGACTCAGCCAAAGATGTGCCCTGGAGATATGCCAAGTGCTTTATTACGGGATGCTCTCATGGTTGGGAGCAGGAAGGGGAGTGGAGTCCAGATGAGTCTGAAACAGGCTGTATCCAGGTAGGCTGGTGACAGTTTCTGGCAGAGTGACAGCAGATTTCTCGAAGGCTGGAGTAATTGTCCCTCCTGTCCCACAGGAAACCAAAACTCCAGCAGGTCTAATTCTGCATCCAGAGGGCCAGACCTGAGTTTAAGCTGGTTCTGTGAGGACTCTGAAGACAAGACACAGAGACTGTCCGCCCCGTCTTTAGATGTGGCTAATACCAGCTCTGTCCCTGGGGCCTTTCCTCCCTACCCTGGGTTTCAAGGGAACACCAGCTTCTCACACCCGCATACTGCTCCTAGGTCCTTTTTCTTTGGAGGGTGTTAGTTCTAATCCTCTAGAGAAGTATGTGCCGGAAAATATAAACTTATAAACAGGTGGAAGTGAGAAAGTTTCTAGGGGCCTTCCCAAGGACAGAATGTTCTTGCGCTGGGGACATGGTACCTGACACCTTCTAGGTAGGAAACGAGCCATCCCTGTGGGGCTCCCAGCCCTCAAGCCTACCTTTACCTGAGACCATGGGGTGGGGGAGCCTCCTCCCTGAAACACGGCTCCTCTTTCCAGCCTGGAGGTTCAAGAAGGCCCATGCCCTCCTGGCCTCCAAAGAGCAGTTTGGTCCCCAGGCTAGGAAACATCCCTTCTCTGGGGTCTTTGCTCTGCCCAAGAGTGATCATTTTTGACCTTCCTTCCTAGGAAAGTCACTGCACACAACCTTTTTTGGCTCCTGTATTGCTGGCCTCGTTGAATGAGATCTGCAGCCACCTCATTGCTGAGGCCATCCATTGAGAAGTTACCCTAGGGTCCCCCTCCGTCACCCCCTGACCCCCAAATCCTACTAATCTTGTGCCCCAAGACTTTCTCCTGATAATTCCTGTTTCCCCATTTCCTCCTCTCCATCCTTATCCTCGTTCGAGCCCTCATTTCTCAGCTAGATTTCGATAGCAGCCTCCAAACTAATCCCTGCTTCCAGTCTTGCCAACCTTCTATCCTGGCTTCCAGAGTGATATCTCTAAAAAAGCATCAAAGGCCCTTGCTGCTTAATGCCTCAGGGGATTTATCCCCCAAAGCCCCCCAAACACAAAAACATGGTTCTGTAAATTGCCTTCCCAGGACCTGCACAGTGGGAGGCTGACAGCGAAGGAGGAGGGCAGTAAGTCTATGGTTCCACAATACCAACTCTTTTCCCCAGTTTCTCTCGTAACAAGGAGCAGAAGTTTAACAATGTACGTTCGTGATCTCAGACAATTACACCTTCCCCGTTCTAATCACACTGACTTGTGAGACATTCAAACCCCAGACACTGACATCATTAGCATCAAATAAGTTTACCTGGAGGTGAGCAGGTACCAAAGTGAGCAGTTGGCCAGGCAGACGTGTGACTTCTCTTCCAGGGGCTGGGAGATTCTCCAGCTTGCATAAAAATATAATTTAAATTTTGTAATTGAGAATCATTTTTGTGGTGGGGGGGGGGGGCCTGGGTGACTCGGTGAAGTGTCCGACTTCAGCCCTGGTCGTGATCTCATGGTTCATGGGTTCAAGCCCTGCGTCAGGCTCTCTGCTGTCAGCCCAGAGCCTGCTTTGGATCCTCTGCCCGACCCCCCCCCCCCCCCCCCCCCCGCCCCTCCTCCACTTGTTCTCTCTTTCCCCAACCCCCCAAAAACCTTAAAAAAATCATTGTTTACATCTCCTCAAGCATACTTTCCTCCACCCTCCACCTCCCTGCCATCCTGCTGGGTTTCTTAAGGACGAGCAACAAGATAAAATCTCTTTTGGGGGTTTTACACATTTGTGCTAACGTGGTTTTACTGATGGTGCTTATGTTTTGAAATCTCCTTAACGTTTGCTAAGAAGACAATATCATTGTGTCTCTTTTTTGTCCATGCTTACTCCTCTTGAAAGAAGCTATGTGTGTTTATATCCTTATAAATGAAAAAGCCTTCTCCATTCTTTTCCCTACTCCTTATGTGCCCTAGCATGTAAGCTTGCTGTTTTCCCTGAATGGATCCGAGAAGAGAGTTATCAGTCTGAAGGGACGTGGCTCATCCTCTAGGAAAAGATGTCTTTGCAATCTGTTACTTACCAGCACACACTCACCCTTGCACACACAGGGGCGCTGTGTTTGGTGTGGGGTGTCTGCAAGGGCATGGGGAAGGGTGAGATAGGAAGCAGGCGAACAGGGATGCGCCTTGAGTGAATGTCGTAAAACATTCCCAGGCCCTGCTTTATTTTCAAAGCCATGCCGAGCACACCCACTCATATCATGCACCTAGTAAGACTGCCTCATGAGGCAATTTACAGATCTCTGACAAGAAAAGTGCCCCTCGGAGCCTGGTGTTTGTACGACTGCCACCTTGAGAACCCGGAGCCATGGTTAAAGCATCAGCTCACACCCCTGGCTGTGGAGGTGAAATCCTCGAGTGTTGCAGAGGTGATCTAGTGAATTCAGAGCGTGCAAGCAGAGAAGTCACACTGCAGCCCAGGCTTAAGGTGGGGGGCAGGGGTGGGTGAGGAAGGGGAGAATCTGTGGTAGCATGGACAGTCCTGCTAAGGAAAGGTGAGTGAATATAAAACATTGTGACGTTACAGCCTCATGACCCGCTGGTAGAAATGAAACCGTGGGTGTTGAAATGAAAGCCGCTTGATGTAAAGGTCAGGAAGGAATAGGAAAGGAGAGCACCCTGTGCCTGGGATCCGAGGTTGCGCTGAGCAAATGGCATGTAAATTAGACTTGACCGTCACGGGAGGCGCCAGACAGAAGGGGGCCGGGGCGGGGGGCGGGCAAAGGTGGCCAGTAACTTGTACACTTTTCTATGGCAGCCAGTTGGCGGGAAACGTCCCTTCTCTGAGAATCCAGCCCGCAGGAAGGTAAATTGGGGTGAGGGCCCCAGGGGCAGGTATCACAGAAGGACAGATGTTCGTGGAGAATGGCTGCTGCCCTCCGGTGGATTATAACGACCAAACTATCTGGGAGATACATCCCTGTCCCGGGTGGGACAATCAGCCTCAGCGGAGGCCAGGTTCATGTCCATAGTGTTGGAGCTGATTTTTATTTTCTTCACTCTAATTTTTTTGATTTGTAAATTTTCTAAAATCAATGTTATCATTTTTAGATTCAGAAAAGATTCCCTTTCTTTTAAAGTTTTTATTTATTTATTT